GGAGGGCACTTGCTGGCAGCAGGAGGGGAGGTCAGGACTGAGTGTCCTGCATCCTGTACCAGCCAGACATGGGGAGGATGAGCCTCAAATCTCACAACCTGGTATTAATTAACACCAGCTCAGCTTCCATGGCTCTTTCTCCCCATCCTACCCTGCGAGAGCTCCCGAGGCAGACAGGAATGGCATTACTTATAGAATCCCAGAACTGTTCATTCAGATCACTTCATTCCACCCTCTGCCATGGGTAGGGACACCTTCCACCAGGCCAGCTAAGGGGAATTCTAGTGGATTTCTCCAGGAGAAGCAGCTCATAGCTGCCCTCACATGCACGTCACCACCTCACAGCCATCAAGTGAAGCTATTAAATACCAAGCACTTCCCATGAGGCTGACATTTTTAATCCCCACTCTGCCTTCTCTTTTCACACACTGGTGACTGGGGCCTTTCCCCACTGTGAGGGCTTTTCCCCTCCTCCCCGTTTCTCCAGCCTTATTGCTCCCTCCCACTCGCAGCTGAGAATTAAAAGACATAATAAAGAGCCCTTGAACCGGGCGGTGGGGTGGGGGGTTGGAGAAAAAAAAAATAAAAAAAATCAGGTCCCTTGTCTGAGGCAGGGATTCATCTGCCTCTCCCTGTGGAGATGAAGAGGCCCTTTCACCCCAGCAACCAGAAGGTGGAAGCTGGATATGTGCTCACCAGTGTGGCCGTGGCTGGGAGCTGCCAGCCCGGGGACTGACAGTGGTGACATTTCTCCCTCAGATTAGAGGGGATGCTGCAAAAACGCATTAAGAGTTGCTGGGGAGACTGTCCCTTCATAAGGCTGCACGCCTGGGAGCGGGCTGGGGTAGCTATGAAACGGGGCCACAGCGTGGCTTCAACCCTCTCTGCAGATTAAGGTTAATCAGAGCCTCCCCAGCCCACCGTGCTCTCCCAGCGGAGTCCAGACCGGCCGCAGGTGGGAGAGCAGCGCTTCCAATATCCCCACCCAGCGCCCCTGCTTTGTTCTCTGCTGCTGCCCAGTGACTTTCATTACAAATATCCTGTTATTATGGAGGAAGAGAGACGGGGGGAGAGGGCCCACACAAAGAGAAAGAAAAGGCTGCCTCTAGAAAGCCAGTAATTACAGGGCTTTGGCTTTCCTGCGGGAGGATTCAGACGGATTCGACATGGCTGTGGTTCACACGTACGGCCCCTCCGGGGGCAGGCTCCTGGTTTGATTTCATTATCAGCTGCCAGGGGAACTTTTTGCCCCCAAATGAGTTCCCAAAAGGGAACAGTTGCACTTTTATTAGTTGCTTTGAAAGCAGTTTTGCTGTTGCCCCCAGCAGCCTCCGCGCTCACTCGGCCACGGGATGGGAGAGCACAAGGGCCATGAATTGGGCTGTCAGAGCAGCCTTGTTATGGGCAAAAAGTATGGAAAAACTTCTTACAGAATCCCCAAATGGTTTGGGTTGGAAGGGATCTTAAAGTTATCATCTTGTTCCAGCACCCTGCCATGGGCAGGGACACCTTCCACTAGATCAGGTTGCTCCAAGCCCTGTCCAACCTGGCCTTGGACACTTCCAGGGATGGGAATCCACACCTCTCTGGTGTGTTGTTGATATGCAGTCACCACCAATTTTAGCAAAATCTGGTTGAATCAACCCTTCAAGTGTCTCCTAACCCCACACATGTGCAGACTCTGTTCTCACATTGCTTATAAAGACAAATCAAATCTCTGTTTGTCCTTTTACAAGGCAGGTAAAAAACATAACTCAGGTATAGATGTGAGCAGGTGAAGTCTCACAGGACCCAAACTTGACCTTCATTCTTAAGTATTGCAAGATTTTTTTTCAATTCAAGCTCAGCACCCAGAACATTCAGTGTCAGGATTTCTGCACAGCTCTGGGTCAAGCACCAACCTCATTTTACACCTGGGTGAAAGATGGCTCAGATTAACCAGGCCACGTTCATGCTGGAAGCCTGAGAAAAGAACAACCCAAACTGCCTCTTCCCTGCTCAAAAAGCATGTTAGACACCCCCTCCCCTCCCTCTCCCATACAGATTGTACACAAACCTGAAAAGGGGCCTGTTTGGGGTAATTTTACACCATTTCTCTGGGAAATGTATTTCAGAGCTGGTTTTTCATCTCCCCTGGAGATTTACCAACAACTCCAGGACATTGGTAGGACACCTCACAGCAGCAGGGCTGATGATGAGACAGAAAACTCAGAAGGAAACTGAAGCAAGCTCAGCACTTGCTTTCCAAACATGCTGAATGTTGCCTTGGTTCTCTCTCTTAATTCCTATCGTCTTTTCTTTTCTCTCTCTATTTACTTCTTAATTTCCCTGGGTTTTAATCTCCTGCCCCCTGAGCCTGGCTGTGCCCAGGCCCTGCCTACATGGGATTGACTCCACAGCTTTTCCCTCTTCAGGGAAAGGTCAGGGATGAAGGTTGGTGTGGGGAGAAGAAAGGCAGAAGCAGACAGGCAGGGAGCTCTCATAAAGGTCTGGCTGTGAAGCCTCTCTGAGAAAATGCCACTTGGGGAGGCTGCAACAGCTTTAATCTGCAGCACAGGGGGATTAAAAGACTCGTTCTCACAGCACAAAATGGAACGGAAGGAGCAGAACAAGGGGAGGAAGGGAGAAAGTTAAAGAGCTCAGCTCCAAAGAGCACCGGGGTTTAAAGAGCTCCAGTCGGAGCATAAAAAATAAATGTGAAGTGGCCTGCACAGAAAAGGACCTTTGGGCAATGGCTCTGCTTTGCTTTGTCACACTGAGCACACACACACACTTCAGGCTGCTTCAGCCGAGGTAATTTGGGATGTTTGGCTTTGTTGATTTTCAGGGGCAAAGGAGTAGGAGGGGGAAGCAGAAGGTTAACGAGGCTCCACCAGATGCGACACTCGAAAGGAGCAGTGGCCATTCTGTGTTTTGAACAGTGGCTCCTGGCTTTGATCCTCACCCCTCCTGTCCCTCAAACCCCCCCTTGTCCTTGAGGGAAGAGTGAAGGGGTGTGGGAACAGGAAGGAAGTACGTGGAATTGTGGGACACCCTCCTCAAGTGCTGCTTGAGCAGCCCTTTCACCCCTCCACAAGGCCTGGAGAGTAGAACTGAAAAGGTGGAGGAAAGAAGGAGACTTGAAATGCTTTTCAAAAGAAAAGGAAAAAAAACCAACAAAACAAAACCTCAAAGCATCAACTGCAGGAGATGTAAAGGCCAAGAAGCCACCAACATGGACAAGCAGCTGCACTCCAACAGGGAAACCTGGCACTCCAAAACTGCTTGGAGCATTGCTCAGGAATTGTAGGAAATGGGGCTTCTTAGGGCCAGGTAACCTCAAACCAAGGACTGCTTTGCCAGATTAGCAAGGTTTGGACATGGCCAACACCCTTGTGAGTGGTATAGTATATTCTTCTCAAAGACAGGAGGATTTTTCCAGTTTAGTCTTCAAAAACCTATGAAGAAATGGCAGCAGAGGAAGGTGAGACACCACCCATGAGTCCAGAGTTCCTCCCATGAACACACCCCCCAGCCTAAGGCACTCAGAGAGGAGAGAATCAGGTTTCCAGCAGCCTTGATTGTAACATACTCTCTCATCTTTGATGTGATCCATCTTCCCTGGAAGACTTCTCCCAGTCTTCCAAGCCAGGAGAGATGCTCCAGGCACAGTCAAATGTCTAAGGCAGGTTTTGCAGGCTATTTCAGCAGAGCTGGGGGCTGGTGGTGCTCTGTGCACAAATTCTACTCAAGAGGGGAAAAAGGAAGGACTTGGTAACATAACAAGCGAGTTCCAGACAGGAAAGAGTGCAGCACATCCAGAGGAGACAGGGGCTTGAGTGGCATTAAGGTAGGAAGAATATAATTACCTGACCTGGACTGTGGCCAGGATAACGGTATTAATTTATTTCAACAAAGCCACAAGTGCCAAACCCTGGATTTTCCATTTAAACCCAGATGATGGCAAATCACAGCAACCCTGATTCTGTTCTTCCAACTTTTGGCTGGAAGGTTCAGTCCTCCTGAGAGGTTTCCATCTCTAATGCCTACCTTGGGAGCTCACCCTCAGCTTCCCTTGGGAAGATCCATGCCATCCCAGTGGCTATGGATCTCCCAGGCAATCCCTGCACCTGGTAGGACAGGGGAACATCTTCCCAGTCCCCACAACTCCCCTGCAGGAGGTGAAGCCACACTCAAGTGTCAAATTCAGCCCCAAGTTTGGTCTGGTATTAATTATCCTCTGTTCTGATGAGATAAATGCTTAATCCTCTGGCTGCTGACACTGGAAATGGCCCAATCCACCCCGGGGTGGATATTATCCCAGGGAACCGGGCTCCAGCCACGATTCCCACATCATGTGCTGTACAAATGTTCACTGGCTTGCAGGGAATGGATTCCATGGGGTGCACAGGATCCTTCTGTGGCACAGCTAATCCACAATAACACATGACCCAAGCATTCATCGTATCAGGTTTTTCTTCCTCCTTCTGTTTTTTTTTTTTCTTTGACACAATATTTCAAATTTCACACGGAATTTCTCCTTTCCAGACATTCCCCATTTCCTTAGAGCTTACCAGCTTTCCTGCTCCAAAGGGAACTTCCTAAGCTCCACTGCCCAAGGGATGTGGGGATGGGTCTGCACAAGCCCTGCTTCTCTGGGAGCAAGGCAATAAATCTCCAGCTGGCTTCCCTGGTTTCACATTCCCTGGCAAGGGAGTTTGTGTTGCAGGGAGAAAGCAGGAATGCTGATGCTGCCAGAGGTGGGAAACTGTCCTGGTTCCTGATTCCACAGTTGAGGACTGTGGCCTTTCCCAGGTCTGAGCCTGTGTGTGCCAGGAAGGAAAACCACTGTCCCACACCATCACCTGTCCTGCTTTTTGTGACACCTGGGAGATGCCTGTCCCCACCTTCCCACTGACACCTGGCCTTTCTGGCCTCTCCCCTACTTGCTCCTCTCTTCTCCAGGGATGCCTTAGAGGCAGCTGCTGATCAAAGGCAAATTTCAAACCCAGACAAAGAAATAAGTCTGAAATAAAATATTATTATTGCACACAGGTACTTGGGAGTGCAGGTTTGCTTCCCATTCAGCAACAAAACAGGTTTTTGAGACAATTCTACACTGATTCCAAGAGCAGCACCACAAACAGCTGATACAAAGGGCTGAATACAGGAAATACAACGGGGAGTCAGTGCATGGGGGGACTTTTCCCCCTGAAGACACAATTAAATCACCAAGCTCTGTGTCAACACAGGAATATCTAGCTTAGAGTGGAGCCCTGAAGTTCTTACCACTGTGTTCTGCTGTCCACAGGAGCAGCTCCTGCTTCCAAGGAGCTTCCAGTCAACCAGGGGGAAACTGAGGCAGGGGGAAAGAAATTCTTTCCTCAATGCCACAAAACCAGACTGGGGTGAGACAGAAGAGGATCACACACATGCAGAGGGGCCCTGGAGAGCTGTCCCCCACCAGAAGCATGAACTGCTCTACATGTAACACAACACAAGGCTGCCAACTCTTTACTGAGATCAAATCTGGCTGCTCTCCCCACCCTCCCTTCAGCAAGAGGTGGCTGAAGTGTTCAGCAAATTCCTTCTACAAATTCCTGCAGAAAAAGGGAATATGACACACAGCTGAAGTTATTCTGTCAACCTTGTTTGCTTTCCCAAAGCAGTTTTTTCTAGTCTTAGTCCAATGCAAATCAACTTCCAGCCCACCTGAATGCAGAAGTTTGCCTTTGCCACCATGGTGCTCAATTTAATCCCAAAATTACAGCGAGGCAAAGAACTAGCAGGAGAAAAAAGCTGAGCTTTTTATTGGATTTTTTTTTTTTATTCCTTAACAACGAGATCCAGAGAGGGGCTATCCACTCCTGGGCAACTTCACCTCAGCTGTGAGACCAGGCCAAGGAGGGAATGGGAGATTGAAGCCCAGCCAGTGGGAGCATGAGAAAGTGCTCAGCCTGAACGAGACAAGAAAGGGGGTTCTGGAGATTAAAACAAAGATCTCACAATCCCAGCTTCTGGGTGTGTTTCCAACTCCAACACTGACTTCAAAGTGCATGTAAGTAAATCTACCTCATCTCTCTCTGCCCCAGCTCCTCCCATGTAAATAAACACAGAGGGGGATGTGGCAGCTGGTACAACCCCAAATCATGGCTACACCATCCCAGCAAAGCACCAGCTCCCAAACTGGCAGTACCCACAGATTATTTCCTGAATATTCAGTCATTTGCATAATTGCAGAGATGAGGTTTAACAGCAGGGACAACTTGGGCTTCCTGGCAAAGGAGAAGCATCAGCTCCTTCTTCCAGTGCCACATCCAGTGTGTGCAAGGACTGTGCTAGACTTTGGCCCTGGAGCCGGCAATGCATAATTTACAGTCCTTAATTTAATCCTTAACATTATCCCTAATTAATGACAGACCAGGGTCCTGGAACTCCAAACCATACAATTAATTAGGAAGCAACAGCAAACAAGCACACCAAGAGCATCTGGGAAGGCACTAAGTACACCAGAGCTCTGCTGCATCAGCCATGGCCGATGGCTCCTGCTCCCACTCCTGACAGCTGGGGCAGTAAATGGAAGCAGCAGGGAAAAGAAGGGAAACAAGAGCCTGGCAGTGAAAGACAGGGTGAAGCAGCTGCTCTCCAAGCAGGTATTTAGGGAGATATTTGAGCCCTCCTTCCCAATAATCTCTGCTTTGGGATTATCCCGAAGCATCCTGCAACTCTTATGCCTAACACACTTTACACCTCCCTCCTTTTCCCAAGCAAGTGGCCAATCTGCCATCTCCCAAGTGTTACTGCTGAGAAATGGCTCTGATAAAAGTGATGCCAAACTGCTTTGCTTCATTATATTGCACTTTGCCTAACCTTGGCATGTCCTTAGAGCTCCCTAAAACTCTATTTTTGCAGACAGCAAGCCAATCCCTTCCTGCATTTTCACACCACACACAGAAGCAGCTCACACTGCTGTGGGTCCATTATTAAGCAGCTCTTCTGGGAAGAGCAGAACAGGAATGTTGGAGTGACATTGCCCTTCCCTCCAAATGTGCCATGGAGTATCCAGCTCCAAGGAACAGCAGGCATTCTCTTCCCACCTGGTATTCCATGATTCTGTGGGATGAAATGGCCCATGGGGTACATGGGGCATACAGACAGACAGGAGCTGTGACCCTGCATGATCCTGGCTGTGTCACACATGGCTCAACTTCTCCTGTGCCTTCCAGGTGACAGCCCCAGGGACTACAAGGGGACTCAGAAAGGGAATCCTACAGTCCAGCCAAGCTGCCATTCCTCCTTAGCCTGAGGAGAGTTCTCTTTCCCACAGGATCACAGTCCACCTGCATCCTACTTATCAGGCAGATGATGGGGAACTGATGATGTCAGAGCAGTGGGAAGCAGCTGATCTCTGTCACTAAGGCAGCACAGCAGCTTTGATTCCTGCACTGCTCTCACCTCCCAGGTGTCTGGGCAGCTGGACCCTGACTTCTCCACACTCCATTCCCTCCCCATCTTCCTTCTAGTAACACCAATTGAGCACTGCAAGCACAGGGCAGGATGATTAGACAGCATGGACAGCATTTCCCCTCCCTTCCCCTTCCTGCAGGAACATTTACCAACAAGATCCCATCCCATCAAGTCTCTCTGTGCCAGTGCCAGGTGAAGTTCGATGCCACAAAAGCAAATCTTATGTGCTATCTCTGCCTTCAGGTGCTACAGTTGTTCAGAAACATGGGGCAGGACCACAGGGTTTGTGAGCAGCCTGAACATCCTTCTCCAACTGCTCAGGCATCTTCATTCCAGGCTCTCTATCAGGTCAGCAATGGAAGAGATGCACAGTAGATGTTCAGCCCCTGGCACTGGGTTTAATCCACCTCCCAGCCAGGAGAGAGAAGCCTGGAAGTACCTTCCTTCAGCACTGGCTGGAAAAATTCTTTGCAAGAAGCTCCCAGACATGTTCAGTAAACACTGAAAATCAAGTCATCCCATGCCTGTGGCTGCCTCTCCTCCCCACTGCTGGCTCAACCAGTCCTAGCTAAAGTGCTTTGTCCAGTCCACCACGAGCAGATGGTGCTGCAGCTGTAGCTTTGGGTTCCTCACTGGAGCCCTTCAGGACCAAGAACTCCAGCAGAATGTCCAAGAGGCAGAAAACCAGGTGCCTGAAACAGAGAGAAGACAAAGCTTAGGCTGGTCAGGGCACAGGAGGCAAAGCTCACACGAGGAAGGAGCGGTCTGACTGCCATCAGGTGAAAGAGGAATGATCTCAGACCCTGGAAGAAATGTTTTAGGGGCTGATTCAGCTTTTATTCCACATCTCCCAAACCAGCAGGCACTGAAGCTGCTGAGCAGCACAGAAAACACAAGCACACCTCCTGGAGGGAGGTGGCACATGCGTTCCACAGAATCACTGAGGTTGGAAAAGACACCTGGGATCATCGAGTCCAACCTTTGACTGAACACCACCCTGAGCACTGAGAGCCATGTCCAGTCACTTCCTAAACCAGGAATGGGGACATCAGCACACCCCAGCCAGCCCCTTCCCATGTTTAACAACCCATTTAGCGAAGAAATTCCTCCTGATGTGCACAGTCTGACCCTCATTTCTCTGCAGTCCATTACCAAACCCCTTGCTTTCCAAACTCACAGCGCTGGGTATAGACAAAAAAAAAAACCCTACATGGATCTGCAGCTCCTCCAAAACCAAACTAAACTAGGATTGGTCTTACTGCCCTGACATCCCCTAACTAAGCAGGCCCAGGAGCACAATTAACATGACTCAATAACCTCCAGCCAGACTGAGATCCTGGACATGCACCCTCATCACAAACAAGCCAGATGCCCTCTAATACTGCAAGTCTGGGATAATGAGCTGGAGAAGTTCTCTGCCAGGAAGCAGGAATTGCATGGCAAAGCCCTGAGCACAGCTCACAGACCCCATATCAGAGGCCATCAGGGCGAAGACTAAAATCCACATACCTGTTTATCACAGGCTGGCTCAGGGACTCCAGCACCAGGTTCCAGCTCATCTGACACTTGCTGGTCCCAAGGATTTCTTGGATCACATCTGTGAAGAGACAAAGCTTTAGGAACTGCACATTTCCACAGGTCAGCCTTCTCCTGGTAGGTGCTGAATCACAGCTTGTGATGGTGCTCTGAGCCCAAGGCATCTCAGGCCCAGCATCACCAGGACAGGGAACAGCCAGGGACAGGACACACTGCCAGGAAAGGCTTCCAGGCTGGAAGGGCACATGCTGGCAGTGCTTTTTGATTCCCAAAGGACAGTGAGGGCCCCTTACACTGCAGCAAGGAGTTAAAAGTTCAGACTGCACTCACATGGATTAGCCAGCAGGTGCTTTAATGCCAAAGGTCCCAAAGTCAAATTTCAAGAGAGGGAAATCAATCCAGTGCAACTGGGCTCAGGATTTCAGCCCAGTGACCCTTCTCTGCCATGGGACCCTTTAGCAGCAGGTGGGAGCACAGTGTGGCTCTGGTTTTCCTAAGCCCTGCCTTGGCTGAGATGGCTTGGCAGGAACTGCATCATCACTCTAAGAGTAGAACTGTGGCCAGACCCCATCTGGGAATCACCAAGACATCCCTCCTGCCTCTCTGAGCTCTGCTGCTCCCCAAATACCAACACAAACTATCCAGAAGTGGGAAACTGATTTTTGCTTGCAGGAAACCATTCAAACCTCAAGGTTCCTTGTGCCTTGGCACAAGCAAACTCTATCTCTGTGTTTAACCACATTTCCACAGATGCCAGTGCACTGGAGGGCTCTCCAGCCACTCCTCTTTCCCAAGGCAAATTGACAAATCCCTGGGACACACTTACTAGGCAAAATGCCCATCAGGCTCTGCAGGGCCTGATCTGCTGTTGCCTTCTTCTGCTCCTCTGTCCTGGGGGGTTTAGGCACTGCTGGTAAAACTCCTCCGGGCCAGATGGATTCCTGGAGCAACTGCAGGTACTGGACCCAACGCTGGGTGCAGGTCAGGTTAAACATCTGCACTTCCAGCCACCTGTGGGCACAGGGAGACAGAGAAAGGTTATGAAAAGTCAGGCTCGGGACCAAGTCAGGCCCATCACAGGCCCTGGAGGGGTAGATCAGTTTGCTGCATTCGTTAACATGCAGTTTTCAAGTCTGCAGAGCAAATATTTTCATAAGTATTTATTAGCTGAGTTTCCCATGCACCAGAAGTAGGATTTGATCCCTTTGTTATGGACAAACACATGTGTAAAGTCACAGGGGAAAAGCAAAGGCCATGAAAAGCTCCATCATCCTGCTAATCACAGGAATCCAAGTGAATCACTGATTCCTAAAGGAAGCAAAGCTCAGGGATACAACTGACCTGAAGCTCCCAAGTTATCTCCATGCACAAGCCAATATAGATATGGAAAAAGTGGTGTTTTAACTAAAAACAACCCCCAGGAAGGACTGGAAGGACATAAGCATGTTCTGGTAGCCACTGTTCCTCTCATCAGTCCCTCTGCCACCAAGACAGTCAAGGATGTCTTGCCTGGAGACCAAAACACACGTTCCAAGGATGGCAAGGCATGAATATCCTGCTGCTTTGCTCTCCTCTTGACCCTCTGCTTTCCTACTCTTCCCTCCTGCTCCATCTGCTGGTGGCAAGCAATGGAATCACAGAATCACAGAATGGTTTGGTTTTGGGACCTCGAAGACCATCTTGTTCCACCCCCTGCCATGGGCAGGGACACCTTCCACTAAACCACGTTGCTCCAAGCCCAACCTGGCCTTGAACACATCCATGTGTTCACATCCCTATGGGATGGGGCAGCCACAGCTTCTGTGAGCAACCTGTGCCAGGGCCTCCCCACCCTTATAGCAAAGAATTTCTTTGTTCTCATCCAAAAATCCAACAGAATTGCTGGTGGGCCCTCCTGCTGGGTCAGGACTGTGCCCTTTATACACTAACAACCTGCAGATCCCAAAATGCTGCCCCATGAAACAGCTTGGAGGTATTTGCAGCTGCACTGGGTTTGTCCCCACCAGCCAAGCGCTGGGAGAGTTTCTAAATCAACCATTTGGACCACCTTTCCTAGGTGTGAAATCCCTCCCAATGCAACAGCAAAAGCCAGAGCTGTCAGTCAGAACCTGCCACTGGCCTGAAATCTTTCCCCTCAGGATCAGGAGAGGCTATGGATGAATCCCTGATGCCACATGGGCTGACAGGATGGTTTTAGCCTGACTGGGTGGTGAGGGCCCAGCACTGCTGTCCTTGTCAGTGGGAGGCTTTGGAGCAAAGACTGGAACACCAGCACAGTGCTGGGGTAGGGAAAAGGCTTGGGATTTCACCAGCATTTCAAGATTCCCAGAGGACAGGAGTCGGCCAGCAGGGCCAGGAGACCCGTTCCTCTTGGCAGCCGCTGCTCGTGCTCGCAATTCCATCCCCACTCCTCCCCAGCAGCTCCCGGCCCGTCCAAGAGCACGGGCCCTGCCAAGGCAAACTTTATTTAACCTGCTCTCTGCCAGACTGTCTGCATTCTTCCCAGGCGAGGCATTCAGGCCAAGGGTGCCTTTCCTTGGGCTGATGATGTGAGTGGAGAGTCGGGAATAGCAGCACCTAAAGGTAAGCAGGGCGAAGGAAGCAGGTTGGCATCGGGGACAGAGAGGCAACAACGTGACGTTCCCTTTGTCAGCAGGAAAGGAGGTGCCAAGCTGCAAGTCTTGAGGGATGAACACCCAGGAAATGTCCATTAAAAATCTGAAAAGGAGGCCTGGTGCAGCAGGAAGGCCTGTTGTTCTCAGAGTAAGGTCCTACTGGAGCATGGGCAATGATCCCAGTGATCCCACTAATGGGAAGACACATTCCTTATGCTCAGCCTCACCAGGGACCACACATACTGATGTTGCTACAAGATAATGCCAGAGATCCAGAGCTTCCACCTGTCTTTCAGGACAAAGTGTCCCAGCCCAGTCCTGCCTGGGAAAGGCCATGTTGGAAATGCAATTAAAACTGTTTTAATCTCCAGCCATCAGCGGATTTTAACACTCTGGATCGTGTTAAACCCTCCAGCCATTCCCAACCAAATCAAAGTGTTAAACTGTGACCTTTCCAGGGGCAAGAGCTTTCATTAACGTAGTTTTTTATTAACATGTTTTCCTGCACAGCCTGCTTTCCTGGCTGAGAAAACACGTGACAAGCAACAGAAATTCAGAGCCTTGGGGACAGAGCTGCAAACAACCTGCACCAAGGAGATCAGATTGAACACTGACTTGAACCTCATTACAGCAAGAGCCACTTTCCAGCCTTTAAAAGGTTGCAGAACGCAAAGAACGAGCTTTCTTTTCCTTAGAAACATTCCTAAAACAGAAACAAAAAAATCAAGAAAACACTGGGCAGAGAGAAAGCTGAACCTGGAGACAGCACATGTTTCCAGGCAGCTCAGGGGCAAGCTGAGAACTGATAAATGCTGGAAGGTCCCACAAAATAACTCATAGGATCATGGAATATCGTGAATTGCAAGGGACCATCGACTCCAGCTCCCAGTCCTGCACAGGACACCCCAAGAATCCCACCTCAACTCCCACTGTTGTTGTTGCAGCTCAGGGAGGGTCCCACCAACGTTATTGAAAATTCCTACCTCAGTAAACTCCAGAAAATGTCAAATTGATTTTTCCACCAGGCAGACTTGCTGCACCAGGATGGGGATTACCAGCACAGGAACTCCAGAGATCTGCTGGTTCAAAGCTGACCTTTGCCAGCAGGTCACAGATGATTTTTTTGTGCTATTAAAGGCCTGAGTATTTGAGATCCATGTGCTACATTGAAAGCACACACAGGCTGTTCCCAGGTAGAAATAAATCCACCAAGAAACATAAATAGACCTATCTTTTTTTATTTTTGGGTGGCTGGTGGGTTACTATTTCCATTCTGCTATTTCATGAATAAATAGCCTTAATAAGAAAGATAGAAAAAACCCACACCTATCACTGAGCCATCTCCTTACACTTCAGCTGAGACCAGAAATAGATAAAGTGACCTCCTGGGCTCAGACATCTGAATGTTTTGATAATGCCCAATGCAAAGAGACAAATTCCAAAGGCCATGGAGTCCAGGAAGATCATCTGGAGGGGCATAACTTGCCCATGTCGTAAGGGACCTCTGTTGGAAATAGCTGCTGATGGAGGAATGAAATGGCTGCTAAAAAAGAGCCAAATTAATGCCGTGGCTTAAGATGGAACTCCAAGGTCAGCTGAAGGGATCCATTAAAACTGGAACACCCTGGGAATGAAAAACAAGGCCTGGTGGGGAAAAATCTGGGCCTTCCTTCAGCACCTTGATGCAACAAAGGCTGCTGGGAAAGAGCAGCCTATGGAAAAGGCAGACTGGGAGTCAGGGACAGGCATCTGGGCTCAGATTTACCTGGCTGGATGCACTCACTTAAGTGGACTATCCAGAGGGTTGACCTGCAGATGGAGAGAGCTCAGCAAATAAAGGTTGGATAGGTCGGATTTTCTTAGTCTGAAAAATAAAGATGGACCAGGAATGGCCAAAGACATTACAAGTGCTCTCCAAATTTACCAGAAGCTGCTCAAACTCTGCTTTTCTCATCCATCAAGGTGAGGATAAGAACTGAGATCACTTAAGCTAAGGAACAATCATGTCAAATTTGCTGATTATAATTAAAATCTGAAGCTACAGCGATTATGATTTCCCCAAAACTGGGGATTTTAAGGATTTAGACAGACAGAAACTGGAGGCCATGTTAGGAAGAAGACAAAGATGAGGGAGCTCCTCTGCATTAGCTGTATAAATACAAACAGCTCCATAAATATACATGAGCTGTGTGTAAGAGTAGCAAGTCCTGCTCAACACTGATTACCTTCCACCCCAGAACAAGGTCCCCCTTTCCCTGAGGAATTCAGCATGGCTATCCAGGAGCTCAAAAAAGGCCTGTGAGTAAGCCTATGGTAGTGAAAAGGATTGAAGACAAAAACAACATCTGGAAAACACAAGGCATTCAAACATGACTCTTCCCGAAATCAAGAAAGGCTGGTGCTTAAATCACCAGATTTCTGTGCCATTTCATGTGTTGCTCCCTCAAAACACACCTGCAGCAAAAAGAAATCATGGAAACACACGTGGGACTCCAATGTCTTCACCCAAACTGCTCTTTTTATCCACTTGGATCTCCCCACGATGCCTTGGGGCTCAGGGAAGTGGAGGGTGTGTGTGTGGGGTGGGTAAAAGTATGTGTTTAAAAAAAAAACAAACCTCTTTGATTTTTCACAAAGCATCCTAGGCTTTTGATAAGATCTTCATCAAGTATTTATCGAGCCAATTAAGCTCTCAATGATGCCCCAGGGAGAGGCCAGGCTGTCTCAGCCAGGCCTTGCTCAGAGCAATTGCTTCATTAGCCCACCTCAGAATGAAAATACATAAAGCTGCTAATAACCCTTCAAAAACCAGGGCAAATTAAAAACCAACAAGGACACATTAATTCCTCTCCATCCTTTTCTTCTTTGCTCTATCTGAAATAGGAATTTGTTGTGGTTTTTTTTTTTTAAATCTGGAAAAAAAAGTTGGCACACGCAACTGCTGAAACAGAATCCGAGTTAAAATAATGTTGCAATTGTTATCAAAGCACAGAGTGCTTGCTTCATTCTACTGGCTGTTTTTGGAAGAATGCTGCTTCTAGAAGAGGGGGAAAAAAAAATTTGTTTGGGACAGAGATTCAAAGCCAGATCCAAAATTTCCAGGTGTTTGGAGACAGCTGAATTGAGGCCTGCTTCCAAGCTGATTTGTATTTACTTTACATAGACACACGAAGACACACAGAGTCCTGAAATCGCTTTTCCTGACATGCCACAGGCCTGTCATTCCTGCTACTACTTACAGTGCTAATACACAAATCCAGAGAGGAAGATTAGGATGCCACGAGGTTGGTTCCCCCATTTACCAGGTCTGGTGCCGATTTTTAGGCTTGGTTTTTAGGGACAAGGACTTTGCTGCCACGAACCTGGGCCTGCCAGCACAGCTCCTCCACGTGCAGTCCTCCCCAACACGCCCAGATCAACTCCCCCTGGTAACAACCAGAAGAAGGAGTGGATTTAGTTGCTCCAGTTGCATTGATATCGCAGTTTTGGCTGCTTGTTTCTGCCAGCAAAACTCTGAGATGCTGCCCAAGGCTTGGAGTGGGAAGCTACTGCTCCAAAGCCAAAGGAAAGTGGGACAATAAACCTTCCTGGCTTCTCCTGGCACCTGCAGAGCATGAATCAACCCTTGGATTTAATGTCTAATTTTAAAGATAATGCAGGGAGGGAAAGAGGCAGCCTCCACAGGGAATGTCTGTTCACACACAGCCACATCCCACCCCAGGACACCACCTCTGTGGGGTGACATGTTCAGCCCAGCTTGGGGCTCACCCCCACCCCAGCACCAAGGTGAGGCCTGGGGCACCACCTTGGCTGTCAAAGGTGGTCTCTGCATGGCTCCAGGGCCAGGCAGAATTCCCTGCCATGGGCAGTGCACTCCCAGCACTCCCATCCCACAGGTGCTGCCCAAGCACACAGGTCCACTCAGGGACATCGAAGAGGGTCAGACAGTGGTGGCACTTTGAAGTCAAGAGGATGATGGCAGCTGCCAAGGGTCTTTGTGCCCGTTCTTTTGGCACAGAGATCAAGGAAGAAGAAGAGAAAATCAGATAAAAAGCACCCAGCAGGCAGCTCCCTGAAGCCACAGAGCTCACTGACTTACAGAAGCAGTTGCACAAGTGTCTGTGACACCTGGGCTGACAGTGACAGGCCACAAGAGCCCCAAAGCCAGGGTGACAGCAAAAAAACTTGCAAGAAAGCTCTCAAAAGTCACCTGCAATCAGTCTCAAAGCATCCCTGGCTCTCCATCTATAACTCACAAGGACTGGAATGTCACCTCCCCAAACCAGCCCACTTTGCTAAGGGATGAGGGGACAGGGGACAAAGCCCAGAGCAGCAGTGGAATCACCCAAAGCAAAGATCAGAGCCAAGCAGTGGTGAGCTCCTGGGTAAGGCAGGGATGATTTGCATTTATTTTAAGTCATGTCAGTGGAACATGACACTATCAAAGCTGTCTGAGTAGTTCTACATGCTGCTTTCAGAAACAGGCACTTCCGAGCCCGGCACGGCCTCTGTGCCCCAGCCCTGCTCAGGTTTCAAGGGACAGACACCCAGGGTGAGCCAAGACGCTTTACCCCACTCAGTGGTTTGCACTCTGTGGCTTTCTGTTGTGCCTTCACAGGTCTGAAAGCCAGGAAAAGCTTACAGACCTGGATCTGCACCTCAAACACTCCCAGCTCCATCCCCGGGATGCTGGCACTCTGCTGGGGCTCCTGTCTGGAAGGTGGAGCAGGGGAGCATCAGGCTGGTGGCTGTCCCCTGGCTCCACCACTGTCCCCAGCTCCTCGTGGCACTGGCAGCCCCTGACCCAGCGGGACCAGACTGAGGGCAGAGTGTGGGGTCACACCCACAGCGTGGTTTGCGTGCTCCTCATGTATTTTTAACACCTCTTTGACTCACAAGGCTCTAAAAAGCACCCAGATTCTCCAAATGCTTTTGAGCTCTTCCACCAAACACCCCCAAGAGCCCAGAATACCCCCATGAAGTCCACTTTGCAAACAGGTTCCTGTTGCAGCCTCCCAAGGGAAGAGAGATGTGCCTTTCCAGCCCGTGGGAGGGGAGCGGAGCTGGAGAGGGGCAGTGGGTTTGTTTACAGGCACAGACCCAGCACACAGAGAGAGGCTGCTGGAAGCAGTCCTTGGCCCCAGGGTCATTCCCACCCTCAGAGAGCCTCCCAGCCCCTCCACCCGCCTCTCCTTTCGGCTCCAAAAAAGGATCCCTCCCTGTTACATAATGGGGGGAGCGGATCGGGCCTCGCACACACGGCCTCCCTTTCCTCAACAATACCTTTTTCGGTCATGGAGCCTTCCTCTCCCACTGCCATCCAACTGACACTCAGGGGAGATGGATAGTGCCTGGCTCCAGCTATTCCAGCTATGGAAAGAGGGAAAGAGGAGCGTGGTGGGATGCTCCATGCAGAGAACGGTGAACGGAGCAGGTAGGGAGGTCCCATAATGGACAGTGGGGTCACAGCAATCACTTGATGTCACTGAAAGCCCCCAAGGGAGAGGGGGATTGGCTCTTGGGAGAAACTGGTTGTTGTTCTTGGTATGCTTTTTGTTGCTTTGCAGGTATTTCTATCACTCTGCACTGAACGGGCCTCATGCCAGAGCAGAATCATCTTGCAGCTGCAAGGAGGCAGCAGGAGCAGCACCTCATCACCAAATACAAACTGGCAGAGGAGCACCTGCCAGCAATCCCCTTCCTAACACTCAGAACACTTCCAGGGCACCTCCTTTCTGCCCCATGCCACCTCACCCACTGACAGGAACAGGGAAGGACCATCTCTAGAGGGGATGATGCCCACATCCACATTTTTCCCTGCAGCAGAGCAGCTACAAACACACTCCCCTCACTCTGCTCCACCAGCACAACTCATGGAGCTCCTGCACCTTTCATAGCCAGGCGTGTGCTGTGTGTATCCCAGCTTTCTAGTGGAAAATACCAATGCCACATGTGGGTGCTGCAGGTTCCCTGGGTGACCAGGACACAGCTTAACAGGACAGGATGATGTGCCTGTTCAGGCTCTCATACCTCCCTGCTTACACACAGGGATTGGGTTCCAGCTCATTTCCCAAGAGACCGGATCCCATTTTGGAGAAATGGCAGCAACGCCCACCTCCTGCTGCCCAAGGGAACAGACCCAGGAGTGAAGGCAGCAGTGCCTGACCTCAGACAGAGCACTTTGGCAACCTCTCCTTAGTGCAGTTTAAGTTACCAGCTCAGTTATAATGTGCTGCCTTGCACATTCTCTCATGCCAACTTTGGATGCCTGCAGGAGCGGGAAAAGCTCTGCTCCAAGACTGTCCCAAGCCCAAGTCCTTCAGGGCTCTAAAGAACCACATCCTCAGCTAGTGACAGCCACCAACCTACACCAGAAAACAGGAATGCTCTGTTTGTGTGTCTTGGCCTTGAGCCTTACCACCCAGAGGCACTGGCCCTGGGACAGCTTGGCAAGTCCATCCCAGCTGGAAAGGAAGCCTGTTCCCACTCCATGTGCATGTCCCTGCCCCAGGCACAGGCACTGCTGGCCCAGGGCAGAGCAGGGAGTGCAGCAGTGAGAGCAGAGGTCCTCGCAGGCCACACTCTGAGCTGGTTTTGACAAGCTGCTGTTCCCTCAGCCTGTTTATTCTCCTTTTGTAGGCAGAACAAGCTGAGCAGTGAGAGCAGGAGGTCAGCTCTCCCTGGAGAGCCAAGGAGCTGGGCACTGCTGCCCTTTCATGAGGCAAGACTCCCATTCCTAGGGCTGGATCCATCCTTTCCCTGTTATTAAGGGACAGGAGGCTGCTTGCTACAGTTGCTTCCTTGCTCACAGGGAAAACAGCTCCCAGTGACAAACCTCCAAGAGGTTTCTTTTACATACACACAGCACCTTCTTTACAGAACCTTGTTTGATGCTCAGAAAACATTTACCCACACTCAGGCACGAGCTCCACTTAAGACTGTGACTCCAAAGGGAATTTACCCTCCCAGAGCTGCCAGGTTGCTCACTCAGGCCTTACCTTTGAACAAGGGTCCCAAAGAGCAGGTTGAAGACCTTGTGAATGTTCTCTGTGCACAACCAGCTCCAGTGATCCACCAGCACCAGGCGAAGCACATCCAGGGCCAGATCAGCTAAAGCTGTCTCAGAGTCTGCCAGGAGGAAGAGGAGGCTCAGATGAAGAAACCAACCCAGTGCCTGAGCAAACCTGGTGAAAAGCACCATCCCAAACTCACTCTTTTCTCCCAGTCTGGCACCTTTGTGCCACGCACAGATGACCTGCTGCAGCCCAGCCAGTCCAGGGAGCCCGCCCTTACCACTCTTTCACTTCCATTTCCATACAAGCAGCCCCAATCCCCCCAAAAAAGGACCACACCAAACCAGAACATGGCTGCTCCGAGGGCTCAGTTCCTTCTCAGTTAAAGAGAGGATGGTAATGTGCCCAAAACAGGTGAGAATGAAAGTAGTCACTGTAGCTAGAGAAAGGTACACTGCTGAGGACTATTTTCCTGGTCTTCCCCATCACTTTCCCCTCTTCCAAGAGTTTCCCAGGCACAAGGCTCCAGACAGTGGCTGCAGGCTGCCATCGTGTGGCAGATCCCAATCCTGGCAGGAAGGTGGATAAACCACATCTGGATAGACCAGATGGATCAGTTAAAACACAAACCCATACACCTCCTCACATATCCCTGCTGGCACGAGCCTGGGACAGCAAAACCTCTCTCTGATCTTCGGGAGGACACCAAAACCTTCAGTGTAAACACTTTCTACTTGCCAGAAAATTACTTTTGGCCCCAAAGCAGTCGAGGTGTTGTCCTGAACAGGCTCATTAATGTGCCACAAACCTGCCTGGGGCAGCCACTCCTAGGCCAGGTGAGATCAGGTGCAACAGCTTTCCCTAATTTGGATTCCCTGATGCCTCATCTTCCAAGCACTCTGCCTATAGAGAATTTACACTCACAATCTACTGCTGAAAATGAAGGGAAGAGGGATTCTGGACCTTCTCCTTCCCTCTCCTTCCTCTCCCTACTGCACATGTGCAGGACTAATTAACTCCAGGCCACTTCACTTGGAAAAGACAGGGTACTTGGCCCTCTTGCTCTGGGCCATGTCTAAGCTATTCCTCACTTGCTCTGCCCCCTGAGATTTGACTTCCCAGTGTAGAGTCAGAAGCAGGCTGTCCAGCTTCCCCCTAACCTCAGACAGGGACCATCCTCAGCAATTTCTGTTTATTCCCAGAGCATTCAAGTCCTCTTCCTCAGAGAGATGCTGGCCAGCCTCTTCCCAGAAGTCACTCCATGAGCAGACAGGGACACAGGCTGCCTTTTATCCAGCTGCTCCAGACGTTTGCTCCCCTCGCCCTGCCAGCCCAGCCTGAAACATCCCAGACCTGCAGGCATTTGCCATCACTGACATTTCATCTCCCTCAGAATTCAGGGAACTTGGTGCACAACCCTGGCCTCCAATTCCAGTCCTGCCTCCCCAAAACCACGTGTTCCAAGATTACAGGCAAAGCTGGTAGCACAAGCTGAGTTTCAGGAACACCAGACCCATCCTGTCACAAGCACGTCAGAGCTTGCCCAACTTGAAACACTGGAGAGAAATTCTGGGGAAGTTCCAGCTGATACAGCTCAGCTATTCCAAGAAAAAGATTAGAGAACATATTTTTTGCTTGTGTTAAGGATAATCTTGTAACTGTTTTGGGAAGCTGTGGCACCTCTGTGCTTCAGAGAGATTCAGAATCAGAAAGGGACCATCATTACTTGAACTGGGATTACATTTTTGCTGCTCCCATCAAATCTATCCAAACTTGAGCTCAAAAGGTCCTTTTATAGTGCATGGACATATCAAGGCTAATTTGAGACTATCAAGAAACTGTAATTTGGCCATTTTTCAGTTTCCAGGAGCTTGATTTTATAACATTGCCAGTTCAAGCACTGTGTCCTTAAAAAAACTTATTTGTGCAGTGACTGTGCTGACTCCACAAAGGTGAATATTCAAGAGGATCCAAGACCCAATTTGCTTTCAACAAAGCCCAGAGCAATCACCAAACAGGACTGAAAGAACTCAGTTTGCTTTCCCTTCAACCAAGGGCAAGGAGAACAGGTCCTGAAAACCCTGTAAATTGATTGTGGTCCTAAGGGAGAGAAATTAAAGCAGTACCAGAGGGGCTGAGCTCACCGGAGTTCATGTCCAGATGTGTCCCCTGCTCTGGTGTGTTCAGCCCATCTGCATCCTCCTGCACAGAGCTTCCCTTAGCTTCTCTGCCTCCCTCACCTTCAGGAGCTTTGCTAGGGATTGCTTCCAGCAGCTTCTCCTGCTTCTGGATGAAGGATTCCATAGCAGCCAGCGACAGGGTGCCAGAGACCTACAAAACCCACAGTGAATTAGCACCACACAGGCCTGGATGCCACCGGTCACACAACCAGCCACCTCCTTGTCTGCACTCAGGGGTAGCCAACAACACAACCAGTCTTGCTTACTGTCCACCTGGCACGTGGGAACGAGGCTGCAGCAGCCACAACCCTCGTGCACGTGGATTATTCCCAAACAGGGCAGTGAGTGGGATCATGAAAGGGTTCCAGGAGAGATGGGAACTTACAGCGCTGCCCTCCCTGATGGAGTACACTATCCTGTCATGAGCTTCACTCACACTCAGCACTGGAGTGATTTTACTGGATGAGAACCTCAGCCTGGACCTGAAAAGGAGAGACATGGCACAGTCAGTTTTCTCTGCAAGCTGTGAGTGATGAGTTCTCCAGCTTCCACCAAGACACTTTGCCCAGTGTCACATCCAAGCTACAAAGTCTGATTAGACCTAAAGTGGTTCAAAACCAGCACCTGCACCCAGGATAACTAAGAGGTAGCAGTAAAACCAGGCAAGAAAAGCATTAAAGCCAAGGCTTTCCAACATTCCACACACAGAAGGGTGTGTTACACCTTGCTGACACCTTGCCTGTGAACATTCCAGCATACACGTGGAAGTGTTCAGAAAAGCCTCTGAGATGGAACACACTGAGCAGGATTGTGAAATCCAATCATAAAGACACACAGAAAGGAGAGTATGAAAGGATGCTCAGGGTTACGGGACAAATCGTAAAATAACCTGTTTATCGTTAAGGAATGTCCTTTTCAGCCAAGATGCTTTCAAACTTGTACTTTTTTTGGTTTGTCTTTTTGTTCAAAGCTGGCTTTTTCCAGCAAAACATACCTTTTGGGAACAAAAAGCAGTGTTTGTGCAGAAACCTTCCCTTTTTCAGTGAGGGAAGAGTCACTAATGAGCACAGTGAGGTTTGGCACTGCCAGCAGCACCAATGAACACTTGGTGAGCAACATACATGCAATGACCTTAAACATTACTCCTAAATAAACATTCAAATGCATTTTGTGCAAGGCCACTGTGTGGAACACATAGGAGAGGCAGGGGAGGGAACCTTCAGGTAAGTAATTTATAGGTGCATTTTCCAGTGACTCAGGACATATATGGGTCATGCACATGTTTAAGGTTAAAAAGGAATTCCCCAGGAGCATCAGCGTCTCTGCTGGCAAACAGCAGCACCTGACAGCTCCCTCGGGAAGAAATCCACCTTCTGTGGGAACCTGAGCATTCCTGGGAAACCCTTTGGACAACCAGGAACTCACAGCAAGGGAAGAAGAAAGCAACTTAGTTAAAATACAACACATAAAGCACCAGGTCAGTTCTTCCCCACAGTGGGCTCAGTTTATGCATTAATTCCTTATTCTGCAGAGCTGGAGAAGCCCTTCTTACTTAGTTGCCTTCTTGCCATCTGTCTGGGACTTTCCATCCACTTCAGACTCGCTCAGATCCTCCGTGGGGCTCTGGGGCTCTGACCTGGGGAATGCCGTCTTCAGGGTGTCCACAATAGCACTGACAACGATCTGCAGGGCCAGCAGTGCCATTAGTTACTGATTAGACCCTTAGTCCTTAAAGACATCAAGAGTTTTCAAACTTGCACTGTATTTTCTATCAAACCCCAGGTTTTTTGAGATGGGGTCTGACCCTCCTGCTTTCCTACCTTGTCTATCCTGGAGACAACAAAGGGCTTCTTGACAAACGCGATCCTGGCGTCGGTGTTGAGGGCAAGAAACTCCTGCACCTCCTCACTGTTGGCAATTTCAGGGACTGCACACAATTGCTGCAAGGAGAGATGGAAATTCAGGGCTTTTTGGAGTCAACTTCCCAGCTTGATCATGTAATGGGGAAGAGATCTGATGTCAGTCACAGAGCTGTCCTGAGCTCTGTTTTCAGCTCACAGGGGCACACGAATATCTCACCTTTAAGAAGGATTCCAGCAGACTTTTCCTGGCTTCCACTTTATCGCTGTCCATGTTTCCAAAAGGGAGATCAGGGAACAGTTTCTTTGGGCCTTTGATGTCTGCAAAGGAAGCAAAGCCATGAGCAAGCTCGAGAAAACTGGGGGGAAAAAAAATTAATCTTAATTTAAAAGATTTTAAAATCCAAGATTAAAAATTAAGATTTTAAAATCTAAATACAGATTTTAGTCTGTATTAAAACCTTAATGGTCTCGTAGTTAAGACTATCACCACACACTGCCCAGGGCAAGACACCCCTCAAATCAGGTTTGCTGAATCAGACCTTCAATCCATATGGAATCTGTGCTCTGCTGGATTTCACATCTTCCATGCCTTTAAAGTTAAAAGCAGCAAGAACACCAGTCTAGCACAAGGACTCTAAATCACTCCAAGAGCCCAAATACTCTCAACAAAGCAGTTTTCCAGTCAACCTGTCAGAACCAAGGAATTATGTTGGAACGTGCTAAACTCAATGGAGCTTTATATAGAAGCAGTGTTAGAAGAAACATTGTTTTGTTCCTAAAAAAAGCTCATGTCTATTCACATATTACACTATTTCCTTCTATGCAAACAAGATTCTTTCCGACCCCAGTGTTTCCATTCACTGCTAAGGTGCAAAGCTACCAAACTAGGTGCTGTAATCAGAAAAAGAAGAATATTTTGAAACACTGGAATTTGCTGCCAAAAGAGATAAACCCTCCAGCCAGCTCTGCACAAACCAACAGAGATGTGGGCACAGGCAGGGCAGAAAACCCTCAGGAATGAGGAGGATGAGAGGGAGAGGATTTACTCCAAGAGCTAATGCAGGCACTGACTTTTGAGGAACTTGCGGAGCTCCGGTTTCTCCTCCAGCCGGGTCTGCAGGTTGAGGAACTCCCGATAGCGGCGGTTGACGGTGTGATAAGCCACCTGCTGAAGGCTCCCTGCACCCTCACCCTCCAGCACTGTCTCATACTGAGGAAGAAAGCAACAAGAATAATCCTTACACATCCCCAAAACAAGCCCAGTGTGACCCTTGGCTAAAAGTGGGAACTCCCAGCCCGCACCCTGTGCCTGACATTCCCTCGCTGCCAACCAAAATTTGTTGTGGAGACACTCACGGAGCAAATCTTCACCTCCAAACACCAACCAGTGCCTCCAGTCAGGGCAGGGATCTTGGGAGAAGGGGTGAGTGCCAGGGGAGCCCTTACCTTGACGGTGTAGAGGGTGTAGGGGTGGAAGCCAGTGCCACTGTGCTCCCGGGCAGTGATGGTCCCAGTTATCCGCAGGTTCTGGATCACGACAGGCCCGTCGGGGCTGCTCAGGGGCTCAAAGCTGAAGGTGCTCATGGAAGCTGTTGGGGAGGATGTGAGCAGGGGCAGGGACTGCCCAGGCTCTGGGGGGATTTGTGGTGGGCCCTCTGCTGCCCCAAGATCTCTCCCCAGGCTGGAGGGTCTCTGCGAGGAGAACTTCCTGGGGACTGCAGGGCTTTCCTCCTCCTTCTCCACCACTGGCTCGATCTGGATGTCAGGGCAGGAGCTCAAGGCAGGGGTGGAAAGCAGCCCAACATCTGAGCTGGGGGCAGGGCCCTCCTCCAGGTCCCCCGTTCCATCTTCCAAAGGGGCCGGGCCCTCTGGCACAGAGGGGTCCTGCAGGGGCTCATCAAGGAGCTCCCCAGTGGGGGACGCTGCCAGCAGGTCCGTGTCCTGGCCCGCACCGGGCGTGGAGGATTCCAGCTCCAAACCCTCGCACGGGAAGAGGGATCCCAGGGCTCGGGGGCGCAGGAAAGGCTCCTCTGTGTGGCACGACCTGCTTGTCTCCTCTCCCTCCTCGCCAGCAGCCCCTGCCTCTCTACTGAGCCCCTCCACAGCCCTCGGGGAGGGGGACAGCCCAGCAGGAGCCGCATCCACCTGTGCTGGGAAGGGCAAGGAATCCGGCACAGAGGGTGCCGGGTGGGGCTTCCCACCGCGGGGCTTCTTGGAGAGCATCCCGATGAGCAGCAGGTTGATCCAGTCGGGATCGGACATCTTCCTGACGGCCGGCAGCAGCACGTTGCAGGCCACCAGCTCCACCACCACGAAGCGCCCCGTCCGCGTTTCCAGGTGCGGCCACGGCACCAGGGCCCGCAGCAGCGACTCCACGGCGGCGCGGGCGCACCCCACCTCGGCCGCGGGGCTGAGCAGGGCAGGGTGCGGCCCCGCCAGCCGGCTGTACTCCCGCCACAGCGCCCCGCCGCCCTTGGGATCGTCCCGCAGGGCGTCCCGCGCCCGCAGGAAGCTCTGGAGGTGCCGCCCGCACAGCAGGAGCAGGCGGCGGGCCAGGGCTCGCCGGTCCACCCGCGCCATGCGCCGCCGCAGTTCCGCGGCCAGGCCCACCATGGCCCGCTCCACCTCGGCCTCGAAGGCCGGCTCCCTGCTCACCGTGCGGTACCACGAGGCCACGAAGTCCCGCACCACCTTGCGGATGGTGCTGGCGATCTCCCGCTCCAGCCGCGCCTCGTCGGCGGGGCAGCCCGGGGGGCACCGCAGGGAGCTCACGAAGCGCTCCAGGCGCAGGCGGCGGCCGCGGGGAAGCAGGGCCGGGGGACCCAGCCAGCCCCCCAGCACCGCCAGCACCCCGCACAGCAGCCCCAGCGCCCGCAGGTCCAGCAGCAGCTGCAGCGCCAGCAGCCAGCCCAGCGCCACCGCCACGGCCAGCAGCGGCCGGCGGGACCCCGAGGGGCCCTGGCCCGGCATGGCGGGGCGGGCGGAGGGCGCTGCCAAGCGCCCAACACCGGGGCTGGGCAACACCGGAGCTCGGCACAGCTCGACCCCGCACCGGGGCTCGCCCGAGCTCCTTGAGGGGGTGCTGGGGCTCAGCTGAGCGGGACCCTCCGCAGACACCGGAGCTCGCCAGGAACCCCCAGCCCGGGCTCTGCGCTGCGGCTCATGGAGCACAACACGCCGGGCCCCCTGACCGCGTACCGGAGCTTGTCAACCACCCGGCACCCTCACTGGGGCTTCTCAAGGACTCCCTTCAGCGGGCCCCGGGGTTCCTCAGCCCCCTCCACCGCCCAGACCCCTTCCCCCAGCACCGACAGCAACACAAACCCCCCGGCCCCGGCACTGCCGGAGCCGCTCCGAGCGCCCCGGGCCCGACTCACCGCCCCGAGCCCTGCCGGCACTGCCGCCCCCCCGGCTGCCGGCCCCGCGCCCCCTGGCGGCGCGGAGGACTCAGGGGAGCGCTCGCCGCCGACTCGTTCCGATTTAAAACCGCAAAATTAAAAAAAAAAAATAATTAATTTTTTTTTTTTTTTAAAGGGCTTATCAGCAGCGCGAAATAAGTTTTTACCCGCCTCCACACGTTTTGGTTTTTAGATGCGTTAGGAAAAGTGGGTAAGCGCGACCGGTGCGTCTTTTATTTATCTTTATTGTTATTGTTCATATGTATTATATAAAATTTAAAAATTAAATTTATTTAATTCGTTGAAATGTATTATTCACCGTGAATAAAGGAATAACCGAAAACTATTATCAAGCTAATAAAAACCCTATTATTCAGCTAAAACTTACTAAAACTAAATAAAGGAAAATAATGCCTTTTTCTGCTATTGCTGGAAGAGTTTTGGGAAGGTGTTGCTGCAAATTTTGTTTGTTCTTAATGATGATATTTGTGTTTGGTGCAGAGAAACTCCTTGGCTACAACTTAAAGAAACCTGGCAGGGATTTTCTGCTTCTTCTCTGTGCATGGTTGTGGCTCTTGAGTTTGTGTTTAGAGCCAAAAATAAACTACAGATGGGAGGGATAAGTTGCTCCGGCCCATGGGAGAGGGGATTAAATGGGATATGGGAGCTACAGGTGCCTGGGGTTTAGCACTTCCCTGCTCAGCTGCATGTGCCATCCTGTTCTCTCACTCTTGCAGAACACAGCACCTACTTACAAAACCAAAAACAGTGGCTGCTCCCATGGAAAAGGTTCTGGGAGAAAAAGCCAGCGCTGGGATTCACTTCTCTTTTGCAGCCTAGAAACTGCCCGGCCAACGAGGAGATGATGGGCTTTATTTCCCACGTCTATGCCAAGATCACATTCTTTCAGTCTCGAAGAGCCAGGATCCAAACCGGAGCCCTCACAGTAACTGCTCCACACGGATGATGCCAGCAAAAAAACCTGTTGGTGTGGGGTTTTTTAACCTGCTCATCAAATCTCCACACGATGGCGGTGCGGACCTGCCAAAAAAAGTCAGTGTTCCGGAACGAAACCAGCTAAACCAGCCGAAAAGCGGAAGTGGGAAACGTCACTTCACTGGGGATTGGAAGGTTTGCCCGACCTTCCCCTTTCGTGTGCAAACCCGTATTTGCACCACACCCGAGAGGCAACGCGAACTCCTTCCCAGTTATACGTGCTGATACATTCTGCTCTGGCAGAATCCAGCTATGGAACTGAAAACAGCCGGCAAAAGCAGCGCTGACAGAAGTGCCAGGTGAGGAAACAGCACCTTCCGCTGTCCCCACTGAAGTCACCACAATCCCCAGGATCTCCACTTTGCTTCTCAGCTCTCTGCACCATCATAACAGAGCCATCTCTGCACCACCCAAAACTGAACCCCACCACTGACTGCTCAGGCACTGAAGTGAGCAGCACGAGAAGATCAACAGCTTGCCTTTTGCATTCTCGCTCTAGCAGATCAACAGCTCTAGCCAATAACATTCTGTACCAGGAAAAGCACTTAAATTCACCAGGACGCTCTCTGAACGGCCCCAGTGTGTGAATCCAAAAGGCATTTCCGTGCCAAAGAGAGGAACTGTGACCCCATCTCCAAAGAACTGCCATCCCCGCCTCCAAAATAGAAAACATCCAGGGACTATTCCCACTCAGAGGTTGCAGAACACTGGTACCTGTCATTACCTCCCCGAGACAGTATATCACCTGCACACCCACACTGGGGAGAGCTGCTTACCTTGCCAAAAATTCAGAAGACCACCTGACAAACTGGAATGCGTTGGGAGGTTGCTCCCGCACCAAAGCTGCCAGACAGAAAAACTGTTGCTTTCCCTTCCATTCCCTGGGCACCCAATTCTTTGCAGCACAAGCCCCAGGACTATGTCCTTTTGTTCTTCACCCTGTTCAGAAGGTGAACCCCAAGATTTGGTTACCAACTCCATAATTGCAATCGTGGGGGGATTGCTCCCACAAAAACTGTGCCAGGACAGAAAGCTGCTCCTGGCTGCTGTGGCCAATCATCTGCACCTGAAGCACTGGGCCTGCCTGCCTTCCTTCCCATAGAAAAGCACTGGGAAGCACTTCCAGGAGCCCAGAATCAAAATTCAGATAGCACCTCCAGTCTTGCCTATGTCCAGGAATTGCTCCTACACACAGGTGGCCTGATTAAGAGGCCCTGAGCCAAAGCTGACCTCTGGATGAACCTTCCAACCTAACGTTATATTTATCTGTGTATCTGCTCATTAGCAAAAAAATAGGTGTGTTTGTTAGTAAAACAGGTAGTATGATAAGACTACACCTGTGTATCTGCTCATTAACAAAATATGTGGGCTTATTAGTAAGATAGATTAGTATCTGCTCATTAGTGAGTACTGCTTAGAAGGGAATAGCAGGTGTATGTAAGGAGTGATAAGGAAAAGGCAAAGGTGAAGGCCAAGGTGATAGAACAGTTTTTACAACCCCATTTGTAAGAAGGAAGGACATTGGAAGAGAGAATGTCTGCTGAGACAAGCGGGCCCTTGTGAGGCAGAAGGGCCACCAGCTGATGGAAATGGATTGTTAGGGGTGTCAGGGACTCCCATTACACCCAGGACCCACCACACTGGAGCCCTTCTTAGTGTACAGGGGCCTCTTGGTCTACTTTAAATTTTATGCCAAAGGGAGGGGGGACAGTTGTCAAAAGGATCGTTAACAATTCAAGGAGAACACTCTTCCAACCACTGTTAATAGGAGATGTGGGAGATACATATGAGATGCATGAATTTTTATTTGTTCCTAATTGTGATTGTAATCTACGAGGGAGAGATTTGATGGCTAAGCTAGGGATGCAAATGAACATTATTAAGAATGACAAAGAGGCTGATACTGTTGTAGCCCTGTGTATGCTCTCTGATAAAGACCCTGCTGAAATAGACCCAGAAGTGTGGGCAGTCCCAGGAAAATATGGAAAATCAGACCTAGAACCTCTTGAAATATCTTTAAAGCAACTAGGTCAAGCAGTTTCTAAACCTATCTCATGGGATGGAAGAAAAGCCTATCATTAAATCTAGAAGCAGGCCTTTAGAGCAGACTGACTCCTTATATTTGATTTTTTGTTGTTGTTGTTGGGGTTTTTGGTTTTTTTTTCCTTGTTTTGTGCCTATTTGGGAAGCAGGGTTATTAATAAGGAGACAGTCTGTACAGTGTCTGGAACAAAAAGACCATGGTGGGACCCTCATTGCTATAAAAATGTTGTAATTTGGAAGGTTCTTTGCCTCCTAAGTGAACCTTTAGTGAACAAGAGTGTTGTTGCTTTTTTGTGATGCTCTGCCAGTTCTGAGCTGGGCTTTGTGCTCGCTGTCCTGTGATGTCGATTTTGAAGGGGCTCTTGGGCACTGGGAGCTGTTCCTCCCATAAATATCCTGAAGCTGGGAGTCTTTTTTGCATGGGTTGATAGCTCTGATCTGCCTGGGTGATTTAATAGTGCACCTCTGTGTCTGCCAGCGAGAACAGGGGAGTTGTTCTGAGGTGGGGACTGGGCTGACAAGTAACAGGGCATGAGGAAACGGCCTCAGGTTGTGCCAGGGGAGGTTTAGGTTGGATTTCAGGGGAAATTTCTTTTATGGAAATGGTTGTTCAGCCCTGGCACAGCTGCCCAGGGCAGTGGTGGGGTCACCATCCCTGGAGGGATTGAAAAGCTGTGCAGATGTGGCACTTGGGTACATGGGTTAGTGGTGCCTTTGGCAACGCTGGGGGAACAGCTGGCTCGATCTCAGAGGGCTTTCCCAACCTAAGTGATTCCATGAGTTTCTTGTAGAAATCCATCAGGGCAAGACGTGAATAATCTTTGCAGCCAGTCCTGACCCTGGGAGGATCTTGGGGAATAATCAAATCATCTCAGTTTGGGATCAATCCTGTGCTGGAGAGCTGGGAAAGGGCAGGATGGGTGATTGCTGTGCTTTCCAGGTTTGAGTTCCCCTTAGAGGATTCCTGGTGTCCCAGGATTTGAACATGGATAATCACTTGTCAGCTGCACTGTGCCTTGGTGACCTTGCAGGCATGAGCCACACAGGGATCCCACTTTATCATTTACATCCCTTAAAACCCTCCACACAGCCTCCTGTGCCCTTCTGGGAAGCAACATCCCTGCTGAATCCCACACTTGTGTTGATTAACCTACTCCAGGCTCATAAATCCAAGCAAGTGGATTTGGGGAGAGAACTTCCCTGCCTCCAGTAAAACTTGCCTCTAAATTATTTAACAAGCTGCTTAAGCAACTCAGCCATTTTGCATGGAATTTGTCAAGGCTCCATCAGCTCTACCCCAGCACAATGTGACAGCCATACTTTTATTATGAGCAAGCGCATTAATCTCGGAATGGTGCTATTTGTTTTCCTCCCTTGCTTTTATGGTGTTTAAAAGCATGTATCTTCTCCTGAAAATCAATAACTGAAGCTATGAATAATAAAAAACACTGCAGTGAATGGCTCGGAGAGATCCTGGGGATGGAAGTTGCAGCAGTAATGACTCTGTTTGCCATCCATTAAATATGGGAACTTGGAAGAATTATGCAGATTATAATAGCTGTATCAACATAAGTATGTTTTGCTGATAGACTTTCCTGATTGGATCCACGGGATATAAGGCTGCTAATCCCTTGTGCAGAGGACCTGATTATATTAGAGTGCTCTGCAGATTTGCTGATAGGAAGTTAAGAAACAATTAAAAAAAAAACCTTGGCTGGTTTGGGGGGGTGGTTTTCTCAAAGCCCCTGTGCTTTGGTTTCTGCTTGAAGCAAATGTGGCTTTTCCCCTGCCTTTGGTGGAAGCCCAGAGCCCAACTGCAAGCCCTGATGTAAGTGGTGGAT